CTATTTATTAATTCTACTTTAGCATATACTATATCATTTTATTATATTCTACTTTAACATATACTATATCATTTTATTATATTCTACTTTAGCTTTTGCTATATCATTCCATTATATTCTACTTTAACATATACTATATCATTATATTAAATTCTACTTTAGCATTTACTATATCATTTTATTATATTCTACTTTAGCATTTACTATATCATTTTATTGTATTCTACTTTAGCATATACCATATCATTTTAATATATTCTACTTTAGCATTGACTATATCATTATATTATATTCTGCTTTAACATTTACTATATCATTTTATTTTATTCTACTTTAGCATTTACTGTATCATTTTATTATATTCTACTTTAGCATATACTATATCATTTTATTATATTCTACTTTAGCATTTACTATGTCATTATATTATATTCTACTTTAGCATTTACTTTATCATTTTATTATATTCTACTTTAACATATACTATATCATTATATTTTATTCTACATTAGCATTTACTATATCATTTCATTTTATTCTACTTTAACATATACCATATCATTTTATTACATTGTACTTTAGCATTTACTATATAATTTATTATATTCTACTTTAACATATACTATATCAATTTATTATACTCTACTTTAACATATACTATATCATTTCATTATATTCTACTTTAACATTTACTATATCATTTCATTGTATTTTACTTTAACATATACTATATCATTTTATTATATTCTACTTCAACATATACTATATCATTTTATTATATTCTAATTTAACATATACTATATCATTTTATTATATTCTACTTTAACATATACTATATCATTTTATTATATTCTACTTTAGCATTTACTATATCATTTTATTATATTCTACTTTAGCATTTACTATATCATTTTATTATATTCTACTTTAACATTTAGTATATCATTTTAATATATTCTACTTTAACATATCCTGTATCATTTTATTATATTCTACTTTTGCATTTACTATATCATTTTATTATATTCTACTTTAACATATACTATATCATTTTATTATATTCTACTTTAGCATTTACTATATCATTTTACTATATTCTACTTTAACATATACTGTATCATTTTATTATATTCTACTTTTGCATTTACTATATCATTTTATTATATTCTACTTTAGCATTTACTATATCATTTTATTATATTCTACTTTAACATATACTATATCTTTTTATTATACTCTGCTTTAAAATATACCATATCATTTTATTATATTCTACTCTAACATATACTATATCATTTTACTACATCAACACTTTAAACAGCCAGGTTGACAAGTCTCCCTCCTGAGCATCTTTCGATTTTGATATACAAAATCTCTGACGTTGGGCTCCATCTCGTAGTCAGGTTTTCGTCCATATACCACCGAGGCGAGATCAATGAGAAAGAAAGCCGTCAATCCCCAAACTCTGGGTGTGCCTTCGAATTCCCACGAATGGAAGAGCATCGGCATGCCCCTTTCTGGAGTCTGGGGATATGCGTAAACGGGTATGAGTCGAGGAACAAAACATAAGAGGCAACTATCGTCTGTTCCAGACTTGTTCTAAAGCACCATAGTGATTGAAAATGCTCGCAGTTATATGGTGCGAATCAGAAAGGCATCGTAGTTTTGGATGATTAAACCTATGTTCAAAGTACGAAAACAGCGACACCGAAATGGTACTGTGATGCCTTGTCCTTAGAAAACATGATAGATAGAAATGCAGGAAAATGAGATGGATTGTACATATTTTAGATCGCAAGTTAACGCATACTCTGCACACCAATAGGAACAGTGCCTCGCGACATGGACTACGATCAGGGCTGCACGCTTGCGAACATCACACGCAAATAATTTATGAGCACTTCTTCCACGCATTTCTTCTACCAACATAGCGTGTTCATTGGAACCACTTACCCACTCCTGGCTCATGTGGTGCTCGCCGGACAGGAACTTGGCCAATTCGACTGAGAAAATCAATGCAACCTCATCTTCATTGGCCTGAACAAGAGGTAGTACAATTGAATCGGTTGAATTGAACTATAGATATGAGGTTATCTTCAAAGTGTGCGCAAGTAACCCTGATGAGAATATACTGCTGAATGGACCGTTTTGCATAGGCACAGGGTATGCAGATTGCTATAAATAGCGACGCGCACGTCATAGTGACAACAGCCAGGCAAAACGTTCACATTGCCCACACATCAGAGCCCCCAAGAAGAGCATATTTCGCATTCAACAGAGGGTCAAAGATGTCATACATGTCGTGGAAGGTAATTTGGTGCACGCTCAATAAGCACTCGTTGTATATTTCGCACCTTCAGACTGTCGACGTCGAAGGATGGCAATGCTACGGCCGCCACTGGTGTGACCAGCAACTGGTTTTTGGCAACATTGGCTGGCAGCATTCCTATTACTTTCACAGTGTCACGATCAAGACCAATCTCTTCATTGGCCTGTACATAGAATTGAATAGATAACACGTGGTTTGTGATGTGGCCAGCGTGAGGAAAAGTCGTGCTAGCGTGCGGCCTTAACACACCTTTGGATACGTGGATATGCGCGAGATTTATATTCACGAACTCGTGTTTCAAAACACTTGTGCACCACACTGGCGGGAATACTAGACCTCTAAGTAGTAGAGACCGCTGATGCGACCTTCTCTAAACTGCAGTACCAAGGTCATACCAAACGAACAGCTAGGAAGGATTCATAGCTTGTGCACAAACTCAGCACGCTATCGACGAATATCACAAGTGATGATAATTTGGGCAACAATTATGCAATCGCAACTGACTGCTCGAGCGGAGCCTTGGCGACGGCTCGAAAATGATGAATAAAAACAGCAGTGACCTGATATTGCTCTGCGGATTTGTCACAGGCATTGTAATACTGTAGTGAAGGTTTCGAGCTCACTTATGAACCATGTCATCAAATGTATGGTATCACCTTTTACAGTGTTCACGTAGGCTATCGTCCAGTATAATAAATTGCGTGACTCACCTCTCGCAATGCCGTCATTGTAATGTCCGTGTCGGTTTCATCCCGTTTTCCGCCTGGTAGACATACCTGGATATCCAATCGTGCGCATGTATGAGGAAGAAAGGGTGTAATTCGCTCTGTTTGTACCTGCCTACAAATTTAATATCGATAAACAGAACAGATATAAACCGAAAACGTAGTATGCAGCATCGAGTTTCGATACGAGCAAGAGCTACATAGACTTATTTCCCCAAAAGCGATTCGAAACTGTGGAATACGGCCGAATGGTGCCGAATGGCTCTGGGATATATATCACGTTCACGTTTACTACAACTGACAGCTGACACACTTACATTACAGGCACATAATTGGTATACAAAAGATTCGGGAGTGCAATTCGGGTATGAAAAAACAATTAAATGTACTAAAACTACGGTGGTACAGATAGCTGCGACGGAATAGATGTGGTTGCATATATCTTATAATCATATAACAGTACTAGTCTGTGGAATGATAATTGGATAGATTACCTCGCCTCCGTGCGACTTGAGTTTAGAAGATCGCTGTGTGAGGACCACATTGAGTTCTTGGGTGGTCTTGTCTATGTACAGAATCAGGAGCACTGCTGCTTCACCTGTCATACCCTAATCTCGACATTAAAATTGAGAAACCGGAAATGCAAAATAGGATTAGTGGACGAGAATTTGTGAATTTCTGTACTTGGCAGAGCATGACGAGAGACACAGCGCTAAAAATTGGCAGCAGCTACTCAAATCTCTTGAGTATAGGTGTGTTTCGAACGTTTCAACTCGCCTTATATCTCCCTACAAACCAATGTGCAACTTTATTTGATACCAGAACAATATTAGTAGAAATTTTTTTTGAAATTTGCTAAAGAAATCAACTATACATGACAAAATATAGGTCTCGTATGGTACGTCATACAACTGAATGTACAAACATATACAGCACAGGTGTCATTTCTCAGTAAACAGTATTTACAATAATTGGAACTCAAGTCAGTGTATGTTCGCGATGGGTACAAGTGCACGACGTACCTAATACTATGGACACCTGCCGAATTCACACACGAATGCTTATTCATATTCCGTGAGAACACTGTGGAAATGAACACGTGCACACTCATACAAACTGTATATATACATACAAACACACACACACATATATATATATATGTATATATAAACATATTCACACACACACACAGACACGTATACACACACACACACACACACACACACACA